AATGTGTTTGAGGTACCATGTGTCTTCGAGTTAGAGGTTGCCCTACTCCTGGGTACGCAAAATTTCAGGATTCTGACCTGAATTTGAAAAAAAAAACAAAAAGGCAGCAGCAGTGGGTAATAATGGACGTCAATATTTCCAGGGCCAGGTTGTCTTCGATTACTCGTCTTCAGAGGAATTTTGATTTTTCACAAAAAGTGGAGCGAGAACAGTATGAAAGCAGAAACGGCAAGATAGTCGCTGCATAGGTGCGAACTGAATAGAACCACACCCTAACGGGTGCTCAATTTTTCCATGTAAAGCCAAAATCCCATATTCGGCTAGAAATTCGCGCCCAACAGTGGCTTGACGCCTGAACACAAATGTTACGTCCGCTCGAAGCGTGCGTGACCCACAACATGATCACCCAAAGCTTCATCTGAATCACAAGCATAGTGCTAACTGTTGGCTGCTGGTCTGAAGGTTTGTAGACAAGTTCAGGTGAGCGCTGATGTATATCCATGATCCCTGCAAGCGATAGGGGTCTGATGGGGGAGGGAGGCTTGATGCGCAGCTAGATCAGATTTTCCGCCAGTTGTCAGAGGCTTTGGATGGCATTATTAAAAAAGTTGCTCTGGGGCAGATCGGCCTATCAGACTTTTCTGAAACATAGACAATGGCGGTTGCATGACCAACAAGCTGTTTCCAGCTACTGTCGGACTTCCTTTTATCCTGAGGGACGTTTTTAATTTCATCAGTTTGCACAGAATGTGTGATCCTCTTTACAGACTACAGTACAGTTCATCAATATACGTCCACCCCTTATTTTACTAGAAAAATTCTTGAAACGGTGATTCAATTCAGTAGTGCACATTTTCAGATCCTATGTATGGAAAAGCTAGGGGAAAGCATGTTTCTAGAAAATCAAGTTTTCCATATTTCTACGTAGGTTTTTTGAATTTTTGACCGTTTCATGCTATACGTCCACCTCTGATATATGGCTCCAAAAATTTTCCCGTTTCACGTAATATATTAATATCAGACGACAACATGTCTCACTGTGATGCTACGTGGCCCCGTCTTCTAACCATAAGAAAAGGCCGATATTGAAGCTCTTCATAAAGGCGGGCTCAGCAATCGGCGGTTTGCCAAGGAAATTGGCAGGACTCACTGCGTCGTCTGCTCCTACCTCAGAAATCCTGAGACTTACGGACAGTGGCGGAGCTAACAAACACCAACGAAAAGCTGTCCGCCAGGGAAGAACGGCAAATATGGAAGAAAGCATCCAACAGCACGTTAAGCGTCAACCAAATTCGTGCGGAACTGAAGCTTTCTGCTTCGAAGTCGACAGTCTGGAGGGCTATTAGACGCAACAGCAACATAGTGAGAGAAGTTATGCAGAAGGCGCCACGACTTACTTGCGCTCACAAGTCGGCTCGTCTCGATTTTGCTAGGAAGAACATCACAACGGATTGGAAGCAGGTGTGGTGATAAAAGGAAACGCTATCTCTTTATTGTAGTGCAACCAGTAAAGAGGAACTTGTGTTCAGGTAATCTTTTCTGACGAGAAGAAGTTCAATCTGGACGGGCCAGACGGCGCTAGATGTTACTGGCGTGATTTGAGGAAAGATCCTATGCGGTTCAGCCGGCGTAACTTCGGTGGCGGTTCTCTTATGGTTTGGGGAGCCTACTGCTGGGACAGAAAGCTGGAATTAGCTTTTGTTTCCTACCGAATGGACTCCGAGAATATCAGGAATTCTAGAGTCCAAAGTTCTGGAATTCCAGCTTTTTACCGGTCCTACATCGCTGGCGAAGATAAATGCCAATTTCCCTGCAGGATAATGCAAGTGTCCACGCGAGCAGGTCAACATCGGAGTGGTTTCAGCAGCATAGAGTTGACGTTATGGAGTGGCCCGCGTGTAGCCCTGATCTCAACCCTATGGAGAACCTCTGGGGCATCATTGCTCGAAAGGTTTATGAAAACTGTAGGCAGTTTGAGACCATCAACGAGCTGAGATGTGCAGTCATCGACGCGTGGAAGAACATTGACGCCTCAGTGCTCCAGAACCTATCAGCAAGCATGCCTCATCGACTCATGGAGCTGGCTTCCAAACAAGGAGCACCGATTGATTACTGATTTTGCTGTTGTTGTCTTGTTGAACATAGAAATAAACTGTTGATGAGAGTGGACGTATAGCTTGAAACGGCCGAAAATTTGATTAATGCTTGTAAAAAGTTCCATGGGGAACCCAACTTACTGAAAACATGTTTCTCAAGGTTTTTGTACGACAATTCTGATAGTGCACACAACAATATCGCACCATCGCTTCAAGAGATGTTTTCCGTAAGTTGATGGGTGGGCGTGTACTGGTGAACTGTACTGTATTGAAAATGTTCTTGTTGTGTCAACAGCAATTATTGCTGCTTGGTGCATTTATATGTTGTCCCACATGGATAATATCTAATCGAAGCTTTTTTTTACAGACCACCACTTCCAGTACTAGTTGAAACTGCTAAGTCTTCAAAAGAAATTCATCCAGCACCGGAGTCTGTCGCTCCATTCAGGGTCGCTGGTCTTCCTAACAGTGTCCAGCAGGCAAAAGTACTTCAACCAATAAACGAAGAGGATGTCGACGAAAAAGACAAGGTATTAGGCAGAAATTAGGCAGCTAAAGTTGAATAATGATCTGTCGTCTAAATCTCTAGGTCTAGTATAGTTTTGTTTCAGGTGTGGGTCTCAATAATGCAGCAGGCTGTGGCGAGATGTGGCTTACAGCAGGACACTTTTCTCGCGAATGTCCGCGCGGTTGTTGAAGGTAACACCTCTGTCAACTACCCAGTGATTACCCAGAGAAACTCGGATTCGGGTGCTCGTCATCCAACATTATGCCATATGTCGCCATTTACCGCACTTACAATAGAGGTCGTTCAGAGCGTGTCCCACTTTTCGGAATGGTTTTTCGCATTTTCTAGCGCATTGCACATGAACTACAAAACTGCGCTCTATTTTCGCTGAAAGGCCCCTGGAATGCCAAAAAAGGAGCGAAAAGAAATCTATGGAAACTCGATTGTTTTTGAGCCTCTACGAGCTGTAAACCGCTTGAAACTTTGACCAGTTGCTGAATGGA